GTTCCCCAGTCTCTCTCTCTGTGTGTCTCCTGTTCCCCAGTCTCTCTCTCTGTGTCTCTTGTTCATCAGTCCCTCTCTCTGTGTCTCCTGTTCCTCAGTCTCTCTCTCTGTGTCTCCTGTTCATCAGTCTCTCTCTCTGTGTCTCCTGTTCCCCAGTCTCTCTCTGAACGGGTGGTAGGACTGGCCGCGGGGCTCAGGCACGCACTGGCTGTCACAGGTGAGTCCCCTCTGCCCCTCTTTCGAACTTTCACATTCCAGGTTTGCCTGACCTTCATGTGCGCTCTGTGCTCACTCATCAGCATCCTCACCCCAGAGTGCACGTGAAGGAAGACATTGAGCATGCTCGTTTTTATTTAGTTCATATAGCTGGTGTGGTAAAGCTGTTCCTGCTTGTGTGGGGGGGGTGCTGTTGTATTTTGTGTGTTGCCTGTTGATGTCCTTGCCTCCTGTCAGCTCACCTGTATGCCAGGGCAGAGTTTGACTAGACTAGAGTTTGGTGGTTTTTCTGGGCTCAGTGCTTTTTCTTGCACTGAGAGCACCTGAGCACCAGGACACTGGTTCTGCGTTGATTTTTCCCTGGCTTCAGTGACACCTGATCCTAACCCTGAGGTGGTCCCGTGACACCTCCATTAAAGTATCGGAGGAGAAGACGTCGCTCCGGGTTTCTGGGACACTGCCGGTCTCCTGCTCCCTGCCCCTGTGGATATTCGGGGGCGCAGTCGTTGCCCAGATCTCTCTAACTCCGCCTGACTGGGATCCCTCCTCACGCTCTCCAGCCCCGTCTCTCTCTTTCACGCAGACGCCCTCCGCGACGCCCGATTCTTCAGAGCATGGGCTGGCAGAAGGAATTTTGCGGCCAATCCGTTAAAATGTCGTCGGTCAAGCGTGAGACAAACCGAGCCGCAGCGGAACAATCGTCCAGTCACTTAAAACGGGAAATCTCCGCCCTCCGACCCGCTCCCCCTCCCCCGGGAGCACAGCTCGGGCAGCAGATCCACTCGGCGTCGTTTCACTTCCACAAGGAAAGGAGAGACGTTAGCAGCCTGATCTAGTGACGTTCGCCGTCTCTGTAGGAGAGATGGAGGCAGCTGGAGAGCGCCCCCTACTGGTCCCACTAATACCTCTCCCAGTGAGCCGCAGACAGGAGCTGGGCACGTGAATGTCGGATTCTGGAGAGTCTGGGGCATCTACGATGATTATTTTCATTATTGTTAATTTGTCAAACCAGTTTTTGTTTTGCAGTAAACTGATAGCCAGCACCTCTCTCGCCCTGCAGCTCCCAGCTGGCAGCCCCACTGGAGCTCAGCAGTGTGAGCCTGGTCAGTACCTGGATGGGAGACTCCTGGGAAAGCTATGGTTGCTGCTGGAAGAGGTGTTAGTGGGACCAGTAGGGGGTGCTCACCCTGCGGTCTGTGTGGGTCCTAATGCACCAGTATACTGGTGGGGACACTATACTGTAAACAGGCACCGTCCTTCGAATGAGATGTAACACCGAGGTCCTGACTCTCTGTGGTCATTAACAATCCCAGGGTGTCTCTCTAGATGAGTAGGGGTGTTACCCCAGTGTCCTGGCCTAATTTCCCCCTGGCCTTTACCAGTCATGGCCTCCTAATAACCCCCATCTCTGAACTGAACTGAACTGGTTCATCACTCTGCTCTCCTCCCCACTGAGAGCTGGTGTGTGTGAGAGGACTGGAGCATCATCCAGGTGGGGCTGCACACTGGTGGGGGTGGAGGGGATCCCCATTACCTGTAAAGAGCTCTGAGTGCAGTGTCCAGGAAATCGCTGTGTAAATGTAAGGAATTAAATTAAAGGAATGAGAGGGGCCTCAGGCACAGTATAGCGTAAGGAATTAATGTGCTCTGCATGCTCGGCCCACCTGTGTGCTCTCTGTCTCCTGTCTCCTGTACGAAGAACTGGGTTTGTTGAGGAGCGTTCCTCCTGTGTCCTGTGTCTTCCAGGTTCGGGCCACGTGTTCCAGTGGGGGACGGGCCTGGCTGCTCAGGCTAAGCGGGCTCTGTGCCCGAACCCGGTGCCGGCACACCTGAATGCCTGGGAACCCTGCCTGGTGCCAGGTGACCACCTTTTAATCAGTCGGTGTTGATGTTTCAGCGGTCACAGTCAGTCAGACTACCTGAGCCAGAACAGCTACTGCTTGTAAGATCAGATCACTTTATTGGCCATATACAATTCCTTGCATTAGGAATTTGTCTTATCACAGACCCCAGCTTGGTCTCTATAAGACACACAGACAGGGAGAGAAGCTGGGGGTCAGAGCGCAGGGTCAGCCATTTATACGGCGCCCCTGGAGCAGTTGGGGTGAAGGGCCTTGCTCAGGGGCCCAGCGGAGTAGGATTCCTCTGCCGGCCACGGGATTTGAACCGGCAACCTTCCAGCCACAGGAGCAGATCCTGAGCCACAGGGCCACCACACCGCCCTCTCTTATTAGGAGAGAGGAGAGTTCAGTTATCTTGGAAAGAGGTGCTTACGTCAAGCATACTTTGGCATTGTTTGATGAGCTTAGTAAATCAATACTGTTATTAGAGCCCCATCTGTAGTGTCGTAGTATTTTTACAGAGGTCTTGTCTATGTGGGCTCTGACCCCTCTGCGATCTTGCTGTGCAGGTCTGGACCATGTGGCTCCCCGTGGGGTGGCAGCTGGGGCCTACCATTGCGTCTGTCTCACAGGTGAATACCACGAAGCTGAGGGCGTTGCGGTGCAGGGTTTCTTCATCCAGCCCCCCCGTTCCTGCCGATGAGGTGGTACAGTCTGAGCTGTCCCTGCTCTGCTGTGTAACAGGACTGTGTAGGACTTTCTGTCATAGCAGGCAGGAGCCTTTCTTCAGCTGATTAACATAGCCTTTGATTAGTTACTGTTCTGTTCCCAGTGTACTTGTATCATCTAATCAGTGCTGTTTTTGGACTCTTTCATCAAACAAACAAGCTCCAGTCATTTGTCACTCTTCCCTGTGTTGTCTCCTGTGTCGTGCAGCAGGGGGCGATGTCTTCCTCTGGGGTAGTAATAAGCACAAGCAGCTGTGTGTCTCTCTGCCTTTCCTGCCCCTGCCCCGGTGTGTGGACCGAGCCCTGCTGGGCGGGGGGCCGGCGACGGCCGTGTGGAGTGGGTGGACACACCTGGTTGCCCGGACAGGTGAGGCAGGTGGGGAGGTGGGGGGGGTGGAGGGGTTCATCTGCAGCTGGGTGTGAGTGCAGAGAGCCGACTGTCCTCCTGTGCATCAACACCCAGCCTGGCAGACTGAGGCATGGGGCCCCTGTATGTCGGTCAAGACAAATTCATGAATATATTGTTTTTATAAGGGTCATAAGTCTATCTGCATGAGTTTGTAAGTTCTCCCCAGTTCAAAGACACACTGGTTTGGTAACAGGCTTCTGGGGAAAACTGGCCCTGGCGTGAGAGTGTGTCTATGCGAGTCCTGCGATGGACTGGCGTCCTGTCCAGGGTGCGCCAAGCCATGCTCTCGTTGCCTGCCGGGATAGACTCCGGCTCTCCTGCGACCCAGACTGGGCGAAGCAGTGAGAAGATGGATGGATGGAATCAGGGGTTTAACTGTCCGGTTGTCTGTGGGCTGAGGCCGGAGGCAGGCCCCTCACTAGCACGCAGCCGACTGGTTCAGGATGGGGGGGGTGATGCCGGTGCGGACAGGTGCTGGAGAATCGCCTCGCTGCGAGTCTTGTGCGGTGAGACTCCTGTCCCCCTGTGCGGCAGCTCCTCAGCTCCTCAGCTCCTCAGCTCCTCTGCTCCTCTGCTCCTCTGGAGGCTGAGCGCTCGCTGTGCTCGTGTTGCAGACAGCGGCCGGGTCTTCAGCTGGGGCAGGGCGGACTACGGGCAGCTGGGGCGGCCGGGCGACCCCTCCGAGACGGGCAGGAGCCAGCCGGCCGGCGTCCCCGCGGAGGTGGACGGCCTCGCCGGCGCCACCGAGGTAGGACGATGACCGCCGGGTGGGGTTAGGGGTAATGATGTCCGAATGGGTCAGGGCAGGTGAGGGCGCCGCTAGGCCGCATCAGCATCGCGGTGCTGCTGTGTCTGTACCCTCGTTCCCGCTCTCCCGCCCCCTGCTGGCGGGTGTGGGAACATGCCGGGCTGCTGTCTGGACCACCTCCTCTCCCGCGCTGGCAGGCGGTTAGACTTGTCCCGTTCGTTTGGTGTTTGATATCCTGGGTCTGTGTGAAGCGGTCGGTTTTGAGCTGTGGCGAGAAGTCTGCGGGCCAGGTCATGTGGTTCTGAGACAAATCAAAGCAAATCATAAATTTGCGAAACTGACAGAAAAGTGTTCCCAGATATCCTTCTACAACCTATAGGATCCTTTATTTGAAATGTAGACTCCGTAGACTGTGGAATCAGTGGAGTTTGTTTCCTTTCTGTTTTTAACACACCCCTGTTCGCCTCTTAGTCTCAAGGCCTGGTATTCGTGCACTCTGGGTCCGTGCTTCACCAGGCCAGGAGGTGAAGGGACACTCTGACTCTCTCTCACCATCTCAATCACCATATTTCCGGGTCTTCAGAATTTTGCTTGTCTTGTAACTTTTGGGTACAGATAAGAATAGAATAAACTAAAAATAAAATGACGCAGCTCTGTTTCATGACAGCCAACCCACAGCAGGCAAATGGAGGCCTTTGGCATGAAGAACAATTTGAGTAAGGTCATGAGATATTTTATTTCACTGAGTCAGTGAGGAGCAGAGGAAGGCCACGGAGAGGAGACTCTGACTCTTTCTTTCACGAGCCAAGATCTGATAACCGACAGGCATCGCCAGCCGAGGTCCGGCAACCGGCAGGCATCGCCAGCCGAGGTCCGGCAACCGGCAGGCATCGCCAGCCGAGGTCCGGCAACCGGCAGACATCGCCAGCCGAGGTCCGGCAGCCTACAGGCATCGCCAGCCGAGGTTTGATAACCAACAGACCAACCGACAGAGCTGCCATTTGACTTGAAAGCAAAATGACAAAAAGCTGATTGGTCAGGATTGGCACTGGTTTGGAAATTCTGAGGTTAGGAGAGCGCCACCTGCTGGTCGACCAACACCACTCTCAGCACACTGGCTCTCCCTGCAGGTCTCTCACCCCAGCGCTGTCCAGGCCCAGCCCTGCTGGCTACTGAGATCTGACCAGATCAGGCTATAGGGTGTTAGGCGCTGTCGAGTGCAGCTTTAAGTACCAGAGCCAGGGCCGTATTTTACCCCTGTTTCCTGGACATAAACATGAACATTCAGCATTATCTGCAGTTCTCTGGCCTGGAGGCGTATTGGTTCATCAGAATTATGCACAGCAGGGCCATAGAGGTATAAAGAAATCAGCCATGAAGTGGTACTAAGAAAAAGCACCTTGTAGGTTTATCAGCTCATCTCATGGGTGAAGTGTGTCACCAGCAAGACTGCAAGTCTGCAAGACTGATTTTACACTGAGGCCCAGTTTCTCTCACCTCAGTGCCTGCAGGGCTCCCCACCTCCTCTGGCCTTTGTGCCTGACCAGCCCCCTGCTGTTCCCTGCTGCCTTGATCTGGAAGAGGGCGAGTTCTAACTGCTGACGGCAGGGTTTGATCCTGCAGGGTTCCTGCTGTCTGGGATTTGGGCTGGAAGCTTTCATCCGGCACCAGCAGAGCTGGGAATCGGGAATTCAGGCTGTCAGTACCCAAGTCGGCCACCAGGAGGGGAAATTGCACAACTTATGCCTTTTCTCTATGCTGGCTGCCTTACGGACAACAGTTGAAGGTCACAGCTCACCTTGAATCGGCAGGATTGATTGTGCAGGTGCTGAGTGACTCAGGCAGGAGCTCAGACGAGAGTTTTACTGGAAAGCTAAGGGTTATCCACTGCATCAATTTCTACAAGGGTGCAGTCAGGCATTCTGCAACACTGCAGTTCCAAAGAGTTGTGTAAATCTGTGAAAAAAAACTAACATAAGTTGACAGTGTTTTTACAGGAGACTAGATGAAATTATGTTTTTACAGCAGTTCTGTCTGCCTGTCTCACAGCTGCAGGAATGTAGACTGACTTCTCTTGCACAGCAATCTCCATTTTGATTTACTGTGAAGGACAAATTATGTATTAATGCAGCAGAAGCCTGGATATAGTGAACATCAACACAGCTGTCCAAGCGCATTTATTGAGGATAGGGTGCTGAGCATGATCTCACCAGGATGTGCTTTTGGCTTCTTTACAGAAGCCCTTCAGCCAATAAGCAAAACCCTGTTGTGACTGCTGTGCACTGGGAGTCTGACAGCTCTGTCACACCTGGAGTGTATCAGACTGCTGTGCACTGGGAGTCTGACAGCACTGTCACACCTGGAGCGGATCAGACTGCTGCGCACTGGGAGTCTGACTGACAGCACTGTCACACCTGGAGCGGATCAGACTGCTGTGCACTGGGAGTCTGACTGCACTGTCACACCTGGAGCGGATCAGACTGCTGTGCACTGGGAGTCTGACAGCACTGTCACACCTGGAGCAGATCAGACT